ATTCTTCACAGCAGCGGAAAACATTTGATATTCCCCGGGCTTTGCCAAATATGCCGGCCCGCCGAAGAGGAAATAGAGTTGCGCAAGTTCAGCGCGAGTAATTGGAAATTTGTCGCGAGGCTCGGCGCGGAAAATCGGCGATTTGGCGCCGGTGGGCTCGTCAGACGATCGCCCGAGGGGGACCGGTGTCATCGCCGGCTAATCGAACATCTCTCCGAAGACCTGTTCGGCTATCATGGCGGGAATTTGGATGGAAATAATCGGGGTGTACTGTAGGAAAAACACGCCGCAGGGAGGCGACCGATTTGGCGGGGAGGTCAAACGATTTGATTCGGACGTAGTTTCTGTCAGCGAACCGTCGGGATCGTCTGCAAAATGTAGCAATTTGAAGCGCGCCTCTGAAGCTCAATTTTCCCGCGCTTTCGTCTGCTACATGTATACAGAATCGTCACCGTTTACGCGAATGACTTGCCGTATTACGACTCTCTGTTGATATCTAAACCTTTACGGACGTAGTTTCTGTCAGCAAACCGTTGGCCGTCAAAATTTAGCAATTTGAAGCGCGCCTCTGGAGCTCAATTTTCCCGCGCTTTCCGCTTTCCCGCCTTGTCGTCTGCTACAGAATCGGCACCATTTACGCCAGTAACTCGCCGTATTACGAGTCTCTGTTGATAGCTCAACCTTTACGGACGTAGTTTCTGTCAGCGAACCGTTGGGATCGTCTGCAAAATGTAGCAATTTGAAGCGCGCCTCTGAAGCTCAATTTTCCCGCGCTTTCGTCTGCTACATGTATACAGAATCGGCACCGTTTACGCGAATGACTCGCCGTATTGCGACTCTCTGTTGAAATCTAAACCTTCCTTAAGTCGCCAGGGACGTCTTCTCTCTCAGCAGTTCCAACAAACTGTGAGTTTGACGCGCCAAATCTCGACAGACTGTCCCAACGCTAATCCGGCCTGTCAGTATTCCTGCCGCCATGTTGAGCCAATGTTATCGTCTGCAGGATCCGGGGTGGGCCTCGGCAGGAACAGCAGGTGCCTGATCGATCCGCCACGTTCAAGTTCGGACCAGAACAAAACAGAAATAGAATTTTCCTGCGGCTGATCAAAAAGATTTTCTTCCAATCAAAATGTTGTCTCAATGCACATAGACTGCCCATGAACTACTCTCCAAGCAGAGGTTTTTGTTTTGACTTATTTTGGGCGTGTTTTTAGGCTTTTTATCGGGCTTTCTTTTTTTGGCACTGGTATCTTTTTACGCCAACCCAACATTACTTTGCAAAAAAGAAAGCCCCATAAAAAAGCCTAAAAACACGATAAAAATAAGCTCAAACCCAAACCTCTGCTTGGAGGGCATCCATCAACCATGATCTCTTTCACTTGGAAAATTATCTCACTGAGGATGTGTCCTTGTCCGCACAGCACTTGTGTATTCTAGAATGTCTAATCTGGCTCCGCCAGTGACTGCCAGGAAAGTCTGGTTGGCAACCACGAACAGGGTGGTGACGGCTGGATAGACAGTTGACAGCACGGAAAGACGGCACTGGGGCAGTAAGGGTTGGCAACCCAAGCTGCATCTCTCCTGGGAGGGTATCCCGCAACACGCCACGACAAACCCTAATGAGCAATACCCCCAGGGATGCCCGAGAGGGGGGGAGGATGAGCATCCCATTCGGACAGTTCACTCGTTGTTGACCCCAGCGCATGGAAAATCGACTACGAATGCAGTTTGTGTGTGTGGCAAGGTATGCAAAAACCACAGAGGACTGAAAATCCACCAAGGGAAAATGGCCTGCCTACGGAAGTCGCAAGCGGAGCACCGCTCAGAGGCCACAGCTAGCACCACGCAACCAGCGGTGCAGCCAAGGGACTCTGGTAAGACGGTGGAGGATCCAGGCCCGGAGGCACCCCACAGTGCCCGGAACCTCCACGCTCCGTTAGCCTCTTCACAAGGCAGGATGGCAGAACAGCAGCGGGTCAAGTGGCCAGCCTCAAGCTCCAAGGAGTGGTCGCAGTTTGATCAGGATGTGGACAAGATTCTGGAGTCAGTGTCTAGAGGCAGTGTAGATCAGAAACTCAGGTCAATGGGTACCATCATCATGTCCATGGGGGTGGAACGGTTTGGTGCTAAACAGAGAGGAAAGGCTAGAGACCCAGTGAAGCCAAACCGGCGGGAAGCCAAGATTCGCCAACACAGGCAGGAGTTAAAGTCACTTAGACGGAAGTTCAAGGTTAGCACTGGAGAGGAAAGAGCGGCTCTTGCAGAACTCACACATAGCCTTAGGGGGAAAATTCGGACACTAAGAAGGGCAGAGTATCACAGGAGGAGAGGTAGGGAGAGAGCCCGTAAGCGGAGTGCCTTCATTTCCAACCCTTTCGGTTTCACGAAGCGCCTCCTAGGGCAGAAGCGGAGTGGGACCCTTAACTGCTCAGTGGAGGAGATCAACAGCTACCTCTGCACGACCTTCAGTGACGCCGCTAGAGATGCAGACCTCGGTCCTTGCTCACTTCTGGTGTCTTCCCCGGAGCCAGAGACCCAGTTTGACAGCACTGAACCAACCCTGAAGGAGGTGAAGGAGGCGGTCAAAGCAGCAAGGGCTAGTTCAGCTCCAGGACCCAGCGGTGTGCCATATAAGGTTTACAAGCACTGTCCTAGGCTGGTTGTGCGTCTCTGGAAGGCCCTAAGGGTGGTGTGGCGTAGAGGCAAAGTGGCTGATGACTGGAGGAAAGCGAGGGGTTTGGATTCCGAAGGAGGAGAACGCTGGCAACATAGAGCAGTTTCGTCTGATCTCACTGCTTAGTGTGGAGGGGAAGATATTTTTCAAGATTGTGGCCCAGCGTTTGATCAAGTACCTTCTAGACAACCAGTACATCGACACGTCAGTACAGAAGGGGGGAGTTCCCGGAGTTCCGGGTTGCATGGAGCACACAGGTGTGGTGACGCAGCTGATCAGGGAGGCTAGGGAGAACAAAGGGAACTTGGCAGTTCTATGGTTGGATCTGGCCAACGCCTACGGTTCTATCCCACACAAGCTGGTTGAAGCAGCGCTGACCAGACACCATGTTCCAGAGGCAATCCGGAACCTCATCCTGGACTACTACAGCAACTTTTGGCTGAGGGCTGGCTCCAACTCGGCAACATCAGCGTGGCAGCGGTTAGAGAAGGGCATCATAACTGGCTGCACGATTTCAGTACCTCTCTTTGCACTAGCGATGAACATGTTGGTCAAGTCCGCCGAAGAAGGATGTCCAGGCCCTATGTCCAAGTCCGGAACCAGGCAGCCTCCGATCAGAGCGTTCATGGACGACCTCACGGTGATGGCTGAGTCGGTCCCAGTGTGCAGGTGGCTTCTGCAGGGATTAGAGCGTCTCATCACATGGGCACGGATGAGCTTCAAGCCAGCCAAGTCGAGGTCC